CACATTCTTACGTTTGTCAGGACTCTCCATCCAGCTCCCTGCACAACTTCCTCTCTGCCCTCTGCTCCTTGCTCCATGGACCATCCCATTAAGCCTGTCCCTGCCTCTCTTATAGCCTCATACCCTCCCTCCCTTCCTCCCGTAGCACCGTCTGACCCACTGCCAGAGTAAAATTGCCCTTTGAGGGCAGGAGAAATCTGTCTGCTGTGTCCCTACCTATGTTCTGAGGCCTTCAGCAGTGCCTGGCACAGAATAACGAACTCACTGAGTGCATGCCAGCTCACAGCACCCTGTGGACAGGGCAGAACCTCCCCTGTGGGCATCCGAGACGGTAACTCTTCACAGGAGCAGAAAGTCCTGGTGTGTAATAAAAGATTTTGAGTGAGTCCGGTCCTGAGCTTTGCTTACAGGTCTGAGTGACTCGGTTGGCTCCCAGTCCCATGTTCAGTCCTATGGGTGGAAGGAGGCCCATTTCTGTGACTGAGTCCCTCCTCCCCAGCCTGTGTTGGCCTCCCCCTTTACCCTTTCTGTGTACTTGGGGGCTCAGATCATCGGCTTTGTGGGCCCTCCCGGGCCTGTCCCCCAGGCCTGGGCTGAAGACCTGGCTGTGCTGCACACAGCCTTGCTGAGTCCCACCCCTCATCCAGAACAAGCTGTGCTGCCGTGTCAGCGCTGCTGAAGGATTGTAGGATTCAGCACATGGCCCCTGCTGTGGTGCTTCTTCTACCCTGGCTGTGCCTCCTGGGGGTGAGGCAGGGTTGCTGGCTTCTTCCTGGGGGAGTGGTGGCATTTAACAGGTGTGTGTTTAGAGCCCAGTGGAAACAGGAGGGAGGGCCAGCTCGGATCCCAGGAGCGAGTCTGCCCAGGTCATGTTCCTCCAGAGGGAGTGGAGGAAGAGGCCTGCTACCTGAGCCTGGGCGGGCCAGCAGGGACCACAGCAGCCTGCAGGCTTCCTGGCGGGGGGCCTTGTTCCCACGGCAGCCTCTCAAAGGGGAAGGGAGAAAAAACCACAATTCGATAGATCAGCTTTTGTTCCCAGACACTCACCCTAATGCCTCTGGGTGTTTCAACACGCCCAGCACTGCAAGCTTCCTCCCAGCTCCTGGGCAGGGTTGAAGGGGGGTGTCTGAGAGTTCACGAGGGAGACGTCCCCCCCACCCCCCCAAGCCCCTCCGCCTCTGACCCCTTGCTGCTTGAGAAGCATTCCTGTGCTCTCAGTCCTCCACCTGCCCCCCAAAGCCAGAATCCACAATGGCGTGGCAGCCACTGTCAGAGGAAGACCCAACCTCCCCCCCCAGACGTGGCCCTGAGCTCTGGTGGGACCTGGGCCCCTGCTTTCCTGGCAGCCTCACCTGCTGCTCCCCAACTCCTCTCCCTGTCCATCCCTCAGTGCCCCTGCGCCGCCCTCCTTTCCCTCAGGGCCTCTGCACCTGCTATCACCAGTACAAGGAGCCCCGTGATGCAGTCAGCAGTTCACACCCACCAGCAGCTCCGGGGAAGGAAAATGAGGCTACCTGCCCCTTCTGAAACCTTATGTAGGGCCGCTTTGAAGTCAGAAAGGAGCCCAGGTGGTGTAGTGGTTACACATCGGGCTGTGATCCACATGGTAGGCAGTTCTAAACCCCCAGCGGCTCCACGTGAGAAAGACTGGGCTTTCAACTCTCAAACAGTTACAGTCTCGGAAACCTACAGGGGGTGTCAGCTGTGAGTATTGCTGGGGTAAATCTCTCCCCCCGGCCTTGACCCACTGCTGCTTTAGGGGGCCAGAGTCCACCCACCACCTAAAGTAGCAGCCCTGCCGCCTCCTCTTTGCCCGGCCCTCCCCACCTGACGGCTCTGCTCTCCTCTGCTGTCCCTTTGCCGCCGGCCGGCCTGCCTTACCTTGTTTTGTAGCAGTGTTGTCGAGGTAGAGTGTATACTCTGTGTGGTCTTCCACTGGAAGTCTGCAGTTTAGAGGGTCTCCAGATAGAGTTGGACAGCCATGATCACACTCAGTTTTAGAATGTCTTCATCACCTGAAGGAAGGCTTGCTAACTCACTGCCATCAAGTTGATTCCAACTCATGGCGACCCACAGCCCAGGGTAGAACTAACGGCCCCTGTGGGTTTCTGAGACTGTCACTCTTTACGGGACGGGACAGTCATTCCCAATTCTCCCCACCATCCCCCAGTTCCCAAGTCCCTGGCAAAGCCTACACTACATTTGTCTCTGGATTTACCTACTCCGGAAATTGCTTTTAAATGGAGTCGTGCACTCTATGTTTGGGGCTTGGCTTCTTTTTTTCTTTTTCCCCTCAAAGCCACTTTCTTGGGAGTTAACACAGATATCATTCCATCATATCAGGCAGTTGCGACCGACCGCAGTCAGTTTCGAAGCATCCTTTTCCTTCTGGGACTCCCGGACACAGCTCCCTATAACCCCCACCCGCCTGGCTGGGCTCCTTTGACCAGCGTGTTTTCCAGACCTGTCTGTGTGTCAGCATCTGCCAGTGCTTCGAGGGTGCCTACCTGTGATTACGCAAGGGGCTTCAAAACGTTTGTGGGGAAACTGGAATGAGAAGATAGTGAGACTTTTGTCCCACCAACTTTCTGAGAGCCCCCCTGCTGTGTTTCACTTATGGACTTGTCAACTGGCGGACTCCTTTTGGCCAGTATGGGTAAACGCCGTGTGCTTATTTTTCTTGGGTAGATAATCCGGCGTGGAACTGTTGGCTCATGTAGGGAACTCCGTACTTCACCTGTTGAATAACAGCCAAGCTGCCTCCCCCGAGCAGCAGCCTGAGTGTGCATCCCTCCCAGCAGGCAGTGTGTGAGGGCCCCTGCGCCTCCTCTCCTTGCTGCCAGCCGAGCGGGTTCCTTGTGGGTGTGGCCTGCATTTTCCTAATGACTCAGATGCTGGGCATCTTCCCAAGTGCTCACTGGCCTTTGGTATGTATGTCTCTTCAAGCCCTTATTGGCCGTTACTCACTTTCCTTTCTTATTTCTTTGATGTGTTGGTCTGCTGTACTCGCGGGCACACTCAATTTTCTGAATGAATGAGTGGAGCCACACTGGCTGGGTCAGGGGATGCCCCCCCCCCACACACACACACACATGCACACACACCTTCCTGTGGCCCCTTTCTCTCCTTCAGCCTCCATCTCAGCCCTGGCCTTTTTCACTTAGCCTCAGCCTGGGGGTTACAGGGGTTTGCTGGCCCTTACCCTCCTTAAGAGGTTGGAGCATCTGGTGACCAGCTCCCCTGGGTCCCAGCATCTCTATCAGTTGAGGCGTGCTTCACAAGGCCAGGCACTTGGGGGACTCAGCTTCCCTGGGCAAGCCCAGGTGCCCATGATGGAAGTGAGTAGTGTGCCCATTTCACAAAGGAGGACAGAGGGGTCCAGCCCCAGGCTGAGTCGAACAGTGCCATGAGGGTGGTCCACCCAGGTCTGCCTGACCCCGGTCCCGCTCAGGGTTGCTTGGAGGGCCCCTCATAGAAAGCATAGGGTTTTCACCAGCCTTGGGGGGAGGGGGCATGTGGCCCTCACTCAGTGCTCTCTGCATGCTGCCTACACCCTGCTCTTCACTGGGATCGGAACTTGAATGTACACCCCCTCTCCCCCTTGCAGCTATCTCTGCCCTTGATTCATCTCTCCCCATGACACCGAGTCTTCACTGGGGAGCTGCACATCCATCAAGCCCACTGCAGTAGCCCATGACCTAGCGCACATCCCCCTGAACATCGATGGGTGGGGTGTGCACCGCTGCCTCCCAGTGCCCTTGGCTTCCATGCTGGGTTTTCCCAGGCTCCGTGGCAATGGCCAAGTGCTCTGGCCCTGAAGTCAGCTGGCCCTGGGTTCAAATTCAGCTTTGTCACTTACTAGGCATGTGATCTTTGACCTTTGGAGGGTGGCTTTCTTGTTGGCATGCAGCTGTCCTCAGCTGTGGATGGAGCTGTGGAAGGAGCCACATCATGAAGTTGCCGTGACAAGCAACCAAGTGGAGGGGCGGGAGATGCTCAGCTGTGGTCCTCCCTGGCCCTCCACTCTCAGTGTCCATCTGACAGTTCACCCTGCTCCTCAGCTCACCACATGTAGAGAGGTCATTTCCAAGCTGGGCCTTCCCGGTTAGTCTCTCACCGGCCGCCTCTCTTTCTTCCCTGGCTCTCTTCCTGAGCATGCGATCTGGCAGGCGGGCTGCGGGCTGGGAGCTGCACAGGGCAGGGGACCATCTCTGCTGGGAGCTGCCACCGCCCCTGGATCCTGCTGCCGCAGCTCTGGTGAGCTGCTCCACCCACTCGCAGGGCACAGAGTGCTTCCCTGTGAAAGCGCTTCCCTATTCTCAGCTCCAGGAGGAGTCTGGGGGGCTGGAAGACCAGGCCCCAGTTAGTGGCAGGGAAGCCAAAGTCCCCAAGTTGGTGTCTCGGGTGGGGTGTGGAGCCCGGTGCCAGGCTGCCTGGTTCAGACCCCTGCCTGTCCTGCCTGTCCGCAGTGTGTCCCTGGGGTGAAGGTCGTAGCCCTGGGAGCTTCCAGATTCCCGGAATGAGGAATTGCTTTATGACGTCGGCCACCCCCAGGAGCTGCTGGAGGGTTTGGTGTGATTGTGTATCTCCAGCACCTGGCTGTGGTCTTCAGTGGGTGGCAGCTGCTTCTGTTACAGGGGCCCTCACTGCTGTCGTTGGTCAGGCTGCAAGGAGTCCCTTCTGGGAAGTGAGTTATGTACCGCAGGAGCCCGGCTGGCGGGAGGGAATGGTGGCTGTGGAAGGGGTGGGGATGGGCGGTGTCTGTGGCCCATGGTCCCAGGTCCGAGAATGCAGACAGCTTGTCACTTAGCTGCCCCCAGTGCTACTCACCCTGCCATGTGTTTTCATATCTAACAATTCTGACTGTGAAAATTAAGTCACCATGTGATACAACCTCTGGCAGTAGCCCCCTGCACCCCACCCCCTGTGGCAAGCTTGGTGGCTGATGTGGGCTGCCATTGGCAGTGCTCACGAGCCCCCCCTCCCATCTCGCCCCCCAGGGAGGAGGTTCAGGAGAACTGTGTGCGCTGGCGGAAAAGGTTCACCTTCGTGTGTAAGATGAGCGCCAACCCAGCCACTGGCCTGCTGGACCCCTGCATCTTCCGTGTGTCCGTGCGCAAGGTGAGCCTGGGGTCCACAGGGGTGGGGTGGAGGGGTGCTCCGGGCCTGTGGACAAAGGGAAGGGAGTGGGCACTGCAGGCTGGTCCCTTGGATTCCCTGTCACACACTGCTTGTGTCTCCCCTCCCTGTGCAGGAGCTGAAAGGCGGGAAAGCGTATTCCAAGGTAAGCGGGCTGGGAGAAGGGGCACAGGGTCTGCTGCCGCGATGGGGTGGGAGCGGGCAGGAGAAGAACGCCTAGCTCCCCCCTCTGGCCTGCGTGGGATGGAGTCTTTCTTAGACAGGCCTTTAGCGATAGTGCTGCACTTCATACCAGGGCTGCGTGGGTCTACCACCACATCCAAATGCGGCTGAAGTTCCCATCGCAAGACGGGATGGTTTCCACGTCCTGCCCCACCCGGGGCCTCCTCCCAGTCCTCACCCCTGGGACTGGTGAGAACAGTGACTAATACATGCAATAGGACTTAAAGAAACATAGACACCTTGTAGGGGTACCAGGACACTCTGAAGACAGTAAGGGTTTCTGTATGTACACAGGTAGGACTCTTTCTGAGTCAACCCTTCACCTACCCGTGGCTTAGGCATCTCCTCACGCCTGTGCTTTCTGACCATGGCAGGCTCTCCTCGTGTAGCTGGGCGGCTTCAGCCAGGCCCCGCTTAGTGGACACCAGATGGTTGCCAGGGTGTCACTGCACCCACAGACAGCCCAGCCCTGCACTCCAAAGATGGCTCTGCCCAAAGTCCTGGGCATGCTTGGAGCCCTCTCCACAGCTCCCAGGAAAAGCCTAGCAGGGGAGTGGAGTCCAGCCTGAGAGGGGGCGACGCCCTGTGTCACCTCACCCTGCACGGAAGGCCTGCAAGTGGTGCTGTGCAGGGCGTGGCCCTCCCGCTGGCCAGGACTCAGGAAGTGCAGCGGGCTGTCCCGTGCACTCTGCCCCAGCCGTGGGAGCTGATGGCCCGTCCAAAGCAGAGGGCAGGGTGCCCAGAACCAGGCAGGGGGTGATGCTGTCCGAATGGCAATGCCTCCGCCTGAGGACAGCTGCCCAGCCAGGAAAGCCGTCATCAGCAAACAGCTGGAGTGTCCCACCTCCACCCTGCAGACATCCACGGAGCACCTAGCCCACCCCCTGGCAGGCCCCTCCCCTTCTAGCATTAGCTAGTCTTCCTTGCAGGCCTGGCTGCTGCCATACACAGAGAAGACAAGACCCAGAGAGGTGGCAGGGCTTGCCGGTGGTCAGGGCTGTGCTTCCCGTCCCTGAGCCTCAGTTTCTGTGACTGTAAAATGGGGTCACCCTTAGTGGGTGAGGCCTGGATCTGAATCCAGGGCTCCGATTGTTATTCTGGAAATGTCCCCAGGTTGGCAGGGTTGTGTTCCCAGCTCCAGAGCCTGGTACTGCTCACCTCGGCCTCAGTTTCCCCTCCAGTTCCCAGCAGACCTGGCTTTCATCTAAGCGTATTCCTGGCTCCTGGCCAGCTCTCCCCACTGCTCTCACTTCCCTCCCCTCCGCTCTTGCACTCAGCTCAAAGGGGCAGCCCACAGCCCCTTCCTTAGAGCACAGAGCCAGCCAGACCCTGGACTCTGCCCACCAGCCCCTCATGCCAGGCCTCTACCCCTCTCTGGAGTTCCCACCCACCCTGCCAATGCCCCTGCTCCTCCTCCTGCTCTTTGGGGGCACCCCCACCCCACACTGCCGCCAAGTTCCCACGGGCCTTCTCTCCTCCCCTGCTCACTCCTCTGGCAGCCTCTGACAGCACGGCCTTGTTTCCCAGGGAACAGTGCGTCTGTGTCGCAGACAATGGCCTTTCATCTCAGGCGCGCTGGTCCCGGTGACTCTGGGACACGGCACAAAGGGTGCTTTGTGCAGCTCAGGGATGTGAGCTCCTGGCTTTGCCTCATTGGTTAGAGCCTCCGACCCAGGCCTCTGTTCTAGGGCCCTGGTTCTGCAGCAGTCAGTCGGGGCTGCGGGGCGGGCCCTGGGCTTTGCCTGCCCTTGCTCCCCCCCACCCCCCTGTCTAGTTAACCCTTCTGGCTGCCACTCCCCAAAGCCACATTCCTTCCCGTTCTCCTTCCAGCTGGGCTTTGCTGACTTGAACCTGGCCGAGTTTGCCGGCTCAGGCTCCACAGTACGCTGCTGCCTGCTGGAGGGCTATGACACGAAGAACACCCGCCAGGACAACTCCATCCTCAAGGTACATCCCCAGGGGCGTGCCTGCCTCTTGGCCCCATCCCACCAGGGAGCAGCAGGGGACATGGGGGGCACAGAACCTGCAGGGAAGATGCTGGGAGTCAGGCAACCCCTGTCAGAGGCGTAGCCTGCCGCTGGCCTCAGGTTGCCTCCCCATTCATAGCTGGCACTCAGGGCTGGACCCAGACAGTTGCCTTTGGGGTCAGGTGAGCCCTGCCAGCTAGTAAAGCGAGTGCTGGGTGGCTGCCCCTGTTATCTTAGGGTCCCCTGCCGGCAGCCCAGGCACACGGTGTCTGTCTAGGGTTAGTACAGGTTTCGCTCAGGAAGGAGCTGAGGCACAGAAGTTAAGTAATTCTTCTGGGGTCACAAGTAGAGCTGAGAGTGCTCACACGTTTGGCTTCGCAGTCCATCTTCCAGCCCCGCCTGCCTTGACCTCACGGAGGCAAAAGAATCTGCCCTCCTCGACCTGTATGGACTGGGAGTGGCTGCTCTGGGAGCCCAGGTGCCAGCTGACCTGCCCACCCATCTCCCTCGCCCTGGGCAGCTGCCTCTTTGGCTTCCTGGGAGCAGAGGTGCTTGGGCTTCCGCCCCCAGCACACCCTCTTGCTCTGCATCGAGCTACCATCTGGCTAAGCTAGCAGCTTTGTCCTCACAGCTCCCCCGGGAGCTGACCAGCAGGAGCACAGTGTGCCCGTGACAGAGCTGAGCTGGGGGACCCGGAAGCACCAGAGACCAGGGGTGCAAGCTGATGGAGGGGAGGGGCGGGAGCCTCACCCTGCACCAGCCCCACGTACCCTTGTCGAGCCAGATCAAGGGGGCCCATCATACGTCCTTGAGTTCAGACCAACTCTTCCTGGGTAGCAGTGTCCCCTCTGCGATCATCTGTAACCAGAGCTGTCATGTACACACAGACCGCTCCCAGGGCCCATGCGAAGCCTCAAGCCAGTGTCACCATTTCTGTCAGTGGTGGCCCTGGGAGCAGAGACGTCTTCCCTCCCTGCCACCCTCTGTCTGTTGCTCTGTCTCAGGCCAGGCCTAGGGACCCAGACCTTGCCATGGTCGGCCATCGCCAAGGTCTTTGTTCTGGAAGAAATGACATTTCTCGTGGCCTCGCGCATTACTTTTTATTCAGCAACTTCCGCTGAGTGCCTCCTGCCCACGGAGTTGGACTCTGAGGCCCCACACGGCAGGTTCAGGGAACCCTCCAGCCGCTGTGGGGAGCCCCCTCTCCCCGCCACTTCCACCATGAAAGTTGCAGGCTGGGCACTGCAGAGGCAGAAAGCACGCGTGCTCGCCCTTCTGGGCTCAGTAGGATTCCTTGGGACTTAACTCAGCAAACTCGCATGCCGCCACTGGGTGAGCCCACACGCACTCACCTGCGAGCTGATTTTCAGAAGCCAGCCTTGGGCTGCTCCGCAGAGTGCCCGAGACTGTCCAGCTTCATGGACCAGGCAGCCTTGTCTTTCCCCCTGGGAGCAGCTGCCGGGTCTGCCCGCAGTCAGCAGCTTGACACTGCTGGCGTCTACCAAGAACTTCGTGTGAATTCCCTGGCCCTGTCGAGCAGCCCACAGTTAGGCACCACTTCAAGTAAAGGCAGCTAACTTGCTGCCCGTCCCAATCCCACCCCTGGGTGCCAGGCGCTGAGTTGCATCAATGCAGGACTCCCTGAGGCGGGCACTGGGCTTTGCCAGGCTCCCCGTGCCAGGAGGGTCAGAGAGGCAGGGCGAAACTCTGAAGGCATGTTGGCCCTGCGCCTGGGCTGGGTGTGGCTGATGGGACCTTCCCCCCTACAGGTCACCATTGGCATGTTCCTGCTCTCCGGAGACCCCTGCTTCAAGACGTGAGTGCCAGCAGCATGTGGGGGGTGGGGGGTGGGGGGCAGGTAGGAGAGGAGTGGGAGCAGGGCTTTGGGCACAGAGGTTGGGGGGACAGGATCTCTTTCTTCCTCTAGGCTCTCTGGGGCCCCCAGTTTTTGTGCTTCCTCACACCCTCCTACCATGCTCCTCTGTCCTCCCAGGCCACCATCCACTGCCAAGTCCATCTCCATCCCGGGCCAGGACTCCTCGCTGCAGCTGACGTGTAAGGGTGGCGGAACCAGTGGCAATGGCGGCAGTACCACCAACTCACTCACAGGGTCTCGGCCCTCCAAGGCTCGGCCCACCATCCTCAGCTCAGGTGCCCTTCACCCCCTGGCTGCCACCAGTGTCTCCAGCTCCCAAAGGGGCCTGGATCAGGATGGGGAGGGGCTGCATGGGGCTCTGTTCACTGAGTGTTCTGAGCACCTCCTGGGTGCCGGCCAGAGCACAGCAGCGGGCTGGTGCGCCACTTTGTATTCACTGCTGCTTTCATCACCTTGGCCCACCCGGTGTCCCTGCCCACATGGCCGATGGCGGGAATCGGAAGTTGATCATCACAGGCATAACCACTTACAGAAGAGACGAGCTGGGAAAGGGGTAGGGATGGGGACAGAATCCAGATGGGGCAGGGGCTGTGGAGCGGTGGCTGGGCTGACATCCGGTTCCTGGCCTGGGGATGTGGGGTGAATGCCGCTCCCACGTGCCGTTTGCTGCCCCTCGGTGATCACGTAGGGACCAGTGGTCGTGTCTCCCAGCCCCTTGCCTGGCTGTGTGCTTTATTAAAGTATCACCATTACAAGGGTTACGAGAAGTGAGAGGGAGCCCTGTGAAAATTAAGAGGAGGTGCTACCAGGGGGAGGAGGCCTTGGCCTGCCTGCAAGTGTCTGCTCTGGCCACACTGGGCCCCTAGAGGAGCCTCAGCACGCCCCACCCTGACTCAGAGCAGGATGGCAGACGCGCCCCAGGCTAGTTTGGAGCAGGATGGCCCGCGAGGGCCTGCTCTGTACTTCAGGAGCATGGGAGGCACGGGTGCAGGGATAGCAGACGTCTGTCCGCTACGGGTTCTGCCCCTGGGGATGGAGCCATGAGGGCCCCAGCTTTGCTCCACGCTACAGGGCGCTGGGTCCTAGGGTGAATGTGGGATTGGGGTTCCAGGGGCGAATGTTTCCCAGCTTCAGGGCTGGGTCCCCAGAGGGAAGCTCTTAGGTACCTTTAGGCAGCAGAAGAGGCGACCCTTCCAGGCAGCGTGGGACTTGAGACCCTGCTGGTTTCCGTCCCCAGCCCCCATGCAGACCTTACAGGAACCTGAAAGTGCCTGTTCTCAGCTAGGGTCAGAAACAGGCCTGGAGGGTCTAGCCTGTGACCTGCATGGGCCCCTCTCTGAAGAGGGGAGGATGCCTCCTTCCTTCCTGCCGTGGCTGGGGCAGTGTGCGAGTCCTGCCGGGCTCGGGGTGGGGTGGGGCACCCAGGGGAAGCCAGGCTGAGCAGCCAGCGTGGCTGTGGTGGGTTCCTGTGTCCTTCCTGCTGGGGAGCGTCTCTGGAGAAGGCTGTGTGCCCCGGCTGACAGCCCGTTGGAGCCCGAGGCCCCCTTCCACATTCCCTCACCCCTGTTCATTCTACCCCAACTGCCAGGGCCGCCCACCCACCCCACCCCCCAAGTTCACTCGACCTCAGGCCTTGGCTCACGCTGTGCTCTCTTCTTGGAAGACTCTGCTCCGATGAGGCTTTCTCTGTCCCACCCCCCC